TTAATTTTAAAGCGCAGAATTAGGCCATTAGTTTTTAGGTAGCGATAGAAACAAATAGCTTATTAAAACGAAAACGCGTTCGTATAATAAGTCTATGAATGAGAGAGAAAGAAAAAAAGAAAGAAAGAAAATCCTATTTGAGTAGTATATCCCACCCTCGTATTAAAAGGAGGAGCGAGCTTTGAATAAAATTAAAGAAAATCCTTAGTTTAAGAAGTAATGAATGAGCTGACAGGTTAAGCATTACCTTAATTAATATCCACCATAGAAGAATAAAATTTTGGAAAGTAGTAAAAAAAAATTAAAATCAAGTGGAAAAAATGTTGGAAAGTTTTGAAAAGATAATGACTAGGATCTGGTATTATTTAGAGTAATGAAATATATTCTTTTAATAAATGGTTCATTGTTATGTGAGATTTTATGCTTTTATTTATTCATTAAGCTATAACGCACGCAGTGTTGCCAAGTTGTTAGTTTAAAATAATAAGAGTAACTGTTGTTTCATTTGTTCCAAGTAAAAACAGTGCGTAAAAAGACTTTCATTTCAGCTTTTAACGTGTTTTAAAAATAAACTAAATAAGCTTTAGATTTATTTTTACTTCTTAACAGCAATTATTTTCCATAAAAACGCTCTTAAAAATGTTGAGAAAGTAAACGATTTTTTGATTCAAATATTCTTTTGTATCTTCAAACAGCAACTTGTGGTAGCCAGGATTTGTTTTTTCCCCCTTCTTTTTTTTTTGGGGGGGGGATCTAAAGAATTTTAGTTAACTAAAGTAAAAAAACCTTAAAAAAATAAGCAGAAAAAAAATTACCAACATTTATTACAACTTTTGTTACAATAGCACAATTTATGATTTTGAAGATATTTAAAGCTAAGTTGCAATTTAATTCAGGAAAAAAAAATTGAGAACTAAAGCAAAATTATAATAAAATTCCTCTGTTAGCCGAAGCTATTTAGTTAAGAATTTCGTTGGCAGGGATTATTTATTTTGATAAAAATATACCTAGCTTTTTTCTTTTTTAAACCTACCTTTTTTTTAAGAAATAAAATTTGCTTTTTCTTTTTAATACTTATTGAAGAGTCAGAACACTTAATGTTTTAAAATCAGAAGGATGCATTTCGTAAGTTTTTTTAAAAAATTATTCTAACGATATAATATTATTATAAAAAACAGTTACATGTGCTGACTATTTACACGTTAGAGAGAACGTTGGTTCAATAAACGAGCTTGCGTGATTAAATTAAAACAATTTTTAAACTATTATCTTATCAGTAAGTTAAGAGGAAATCTATTAAGCACAACTAAATCGATATATTTACTTGCGTGGCACAAAAAATAAGCATATTTCTCTATCTAAACTGGCAACACCAAATAATTAATTTTGCTAGGTTGTCTTAAGTAATAATTTAGGTAGTGGTTAATATTAGTTATATAATATATAGTGTTAATAATTAATTAAAATTAAAATCAAGTCATTTCCATACGGGCAAGAGCGAGTTGTTTTATGATTATGGCAAATATCTTTACAGCTACGCAAATTTAAATAAGCTTTAAGTATTCAAAATAAATTAGTATGTTAAATTTATTTTTAGAGCGAAAATTTTTGAAACTTGGAGTACAGATATTTAAATTAAATGCGTGTCTAATGATTTAAAAAGAGCAGTACTCAAAAGATGGACGCATAACACAAATCTAAACTTTAATAATTAAGTTTAAATTTAGTTCGCAGTAAATATATTTTAGGGTAAATTTATAATTCCATCTAGTGACATTAATTAACGTAAATTATTGCGAAAGTTCTGTATAAATGCCTTAAATTGTTTTTCCAACCAAAAGAGCAAATTTTGGACATTCATATTTATTAAGTAGGAAAATGCAACATTAAACAATTTTTTTTAATAGTGTCTAGATGCTTACAAGTAAGCTTAAATAAGATGGATAATTGACCATATTCTTAATAGATGGAAGAGATAGATCAGTTATATTTTATTGTGAGCTATGTTTCGAAAAAGCAAAATAGTGTTTTGTTGACAAAAAAAGTAACGTAAGAAACCTTGCTATAATTGTAACGAAAACTAAATTAAAGGAACAGATTAAATAATTTAAACGGATTTATCTGTTCTTAAAATAATTTTTCAAGCATAACACTTTTTTTAACGTTTTTATGAAATATTCTTGTAAGGAAAAGCCATTTCCTGATATGTGAAATATAGGATTGTCCAAAACATGTAAAGTCTATATTTTTTTTCCGAATATTTTACTAAAATAATCTTACATTATTTCTTAATAAAAAAATGTTTTGATTGCGTTTATTTAATTTAAATAGAGAAATATATTCTTATATTTAATACATATAACATAAAAATATCAATAGAATCCAGAATATTGTTCTAAACAAAGGGAAAGAAAGGGAAATATAGTTAATATTTGTTGAATATTTGCTCATATTTTATTAAGCATTAAGCAATAAACAAATATCTGCGTGGCCTCATTTACATTCGAAATGTTTCATAAAAATGTCACATGATTTGAGGCTATAGAAAGTGTCATTCTCAGAAAGCCCTTTTCTCTATGAAAGAGCGGCAGAAAATGTTTCGACACGATTTATTCTAAAAACTATTATTTATGAAAGTCAAATGACATATGATTTAGTAAATCGAAAAGCAATTTATCAATCGCATTCAAAATGACTTCTGTCGCCAAACAATTCGTTATAAATCACAAAAAGCGATCTGATATCAACACATAAATGTCAATGTTCCTGGCATAAAAATGAACGATTTTGAAAATGAAATTCCAATAATTCATTTGTTATAAAATTTCCAGTTTAATTTTTCATTGAATTCAAAAGAATTTAATATGCATTTATTTCAGTTTGATGCTTTTTTTTATTTCTAATGCAAATAAAATATTATAATGACAAAAAACTCTGCCTGGATACTTCAAAAAATTTAATTTTTTTTTGTTGAATTAATTTGCATGATTAATATTAAAATAAATACATATAAATAAAGAAATAAAAAATTGATTCTTTTGATTTTTGATATAATTGAAAATGCTATTACTTTATATTAACATTTTTTAAATTTGTTTTCAACAAAAATATCCATATTTTAATTGTCTTCTACCTTATTTGATAAGTTTTTAAAAATAATAAAAAAAAGAATTATTATTACATATTTTTAATTTTATTATATTTGAAAACATTGTATTTTTAAAAGTTTTCGACATATTTTTCCCCACCTTAGTAACAAATTAAAATAAATACATATAAAACATATTGCTGAACAGTTAAATTCAAATAGAACAAATAGATCACGGTTAAATTATTCCCAGAATGATTTGTTATATTTATTATCTAAAACATAAAAACATATTTTTACAACATTTTGGAATTTTGGGAACTTTTGGGAGGAAAAGTTGCAAGGTTATAGAGATTATTTAAGTTAACCCCATTTACATGAAATAAATCATTGAAATTAAAATAGTTAAATTATTAATGTTGTATTTATTTGTAGAATTTGTGTGATGCATTACAATTAAATCATACAATATGGCAAACGTACTTATGTGAATTAATTAAGCAATTAAGTATCAGCAGTATCAAATTTGATATGTATACTATAAAAACTCTGCTTAAAAACTAAACTATTAATTCTCAAATAGTTTCCAGGTCTTTGAACAACATTAGGCATTTTATGACTTCAAGTTGAGAAATATTTGAATAAGAAAATATTTACGCAAGGGGGTATTCCCAAGATGAATATTAATGAGGTTTTCAAAAACATGGGGGAACATGTCGGGTGGAATAATATTCAAGTCAATTTAAAACTTTTATCCAATATTTCCACCTATTTGATTAAGCAAATATAATTCAATCAAGGGGGACATTACAGACTGAGTAGCAAATTATTATCACTAAAAAGCATCAGAACATTCAAACTGAATCGAATTAGTGACATAATTTACATCTTAAGATGTGATTTCATATTTTTAACACTTGATCATCTGGTGTTAACCATTTATAGAATCATTTTTGTTCTGGCTATATTATGAAGAATATTTCTGGATTGAGATTGATTTATCTAACTACATATGAAAATCTAATGGTGATGTCCTAGTTTTCCACTGTTGTCGTTGCATTTTTATTGACCGGAAAATCGCATGGTAGAATCTAATTTTTTCCACATTAATTTTCCTTAAAATTAATTTCATTTCACGATTTAAAAAGTGATAAATCAAATTTTCAATTAAAAATTTTCTATTTTTTGAGAAAATAAAATTCAGTTTGTTTAGAAGCTCCCACGGGCCGCAGGTTTTCAACGCAGTTTATGCTAAAAAACATCGCTAGGAGTACAAAAAAGTCTCCCAAAGGCTCCTTTTCCTAAAAATAGTTGCCTTTTTAGCTTTTTCAGGCAAAAAAAAAGTTGCCATAGTCGCCTCATACCGAAAATAGTTTCATTTTAGTCGCCTGTGGTAACCCTGTTATATTTATCTATTTTTGCTTAATTTAATCTTTTCAAATAATTATTGTGTAAAAATTGCATACAAATATGGATAAAAAAATACATTAAAACATTACATCCAAAAATAGCAGGTTTATATTAACTAACTAATTTACAACTAAACACGAAATTTAAAAATAAATCACTATAAATCGCATTTCCGGCTTCGTATTGCTTTGTAATTTTCAATCTTTATGATGTGCCTTACCTCTCCTACAAATATTTAACCACTGTACCGAATCAACCAGTACAGTAGAAAATTAAAGCTTTACCTCGAGTTAAACGTACTTAAACTGAGACTTATTTTCCACTTTACATGTTAAAGGTACTTTAAACGAGTATTCTGAAAAACAAATGATAAGTTGTTCGTTTAATGGGAATAATTTACAAGCATGACAGCAAGTAAAAATAGTAATAACAGTGTTAAGAGTAGTGATAACAGTGTAAAAAAGTAGTTAATAACAGTGGTGTAAAATAAAATGAGACTTACATTCGTCCTTGTCTTTGGCCGTTACTGTGATAACAGTGTGCTGTATGTCCTCGTCTTCGTTTACTTCTGCTTCGTACAGAGCCTGGTCAAAGTAAGGTGGATTATCGTTCTTGTCACCAATTCCGATCCGGATGTATTTGGTCACTGCAAAACAATGATTCAATAAATATTACTATCATAAACACGTTTAAAAATATATTCAAGGAAACTCAATGGAGAATACCGTACATAGTTGATACAAGTAAGAAATTCTCCATTGAACTTACTTCAATAAATGTACAAAAATGTATCATTAAACCACCGTGATTTTCCATAGTTGTTATTTTTTAATCTCACTTACGAATATGTAAGCAAATACGAATTATGGTAGTATATTTATTATTGCACATTAAAATTCGTACAAAAAAAGTTTTTTAAATGTCATCTTCAAAAAATACATTTTTTAATCTCACTTACGAATATTATGTAAGCAAATACGAATTACGAATTATGGTAGTATAATTATTATTGTGCATTAAAATTCGTACTACAAAAGTTTTTTAAATGTCATCTTTAAAAAATAAGTATGTGTAAATTAATTATGAAGTTGGTTAGGTTAGTCAATAAATTATCGAACATGAATTTGCCCTTTAAGTTATTTTCAAAACTATAAAAAATATGAAAATATTACAAGCAAGAACAAGGTACACTATTTGTTTATTTATGCCAAGGGTCTTCAAACTATGGTACTCGGGCCAAAATTGAGCCACAGACATTACGAGTCTAGCTTATGTTAACATGCCTGATATACTGAGTAGCGGTCCCTTCATACTTTATTAGACTTTAAAATTTACAACGTGAGTATACATGATAAAATAATAAGAAAAGGAAAACACAGCAACTGCCAATGCATAATAAAGTTATACATTAACTGCTCGAAAGTTTCAAATGGAAAATTTCAGATCATCCACCATACAGCCCGAAACTTTCACTTATTCCTTTACCTGAAGAAGCATCTTGCAGGGCGAATTTTTCACAGACAATGATGAGATCAAAATTGAAGTTAAAATGCTTTTCCGATGACAGGCGGCAAAGTTCTATGCCTTTGGAATACAAAAGCTAATCGTCAGACCCAACAAATGCTTTTACAATGTCGGCAACTATGTCGGAAAATAAGACATGCTTCAGTAAGTAATTTGTAATGTACATTTAATCAATTAAAAAATTTTCAAGTGCGTACGCAGTATCGCATTTTTACTTTTCGAAAACGCCTCATATTTTGTATTGGTACATAATCGTTTTTTTCGATAACATTTAATTTATCGATTAATCACTCATATTCATTTTAATCATGATTCATTTTAATTTATCGTTTTTTTCTTTCCTCTTACAAGTTAATGTGTTTAGGGCTAAATTATATTTGTAACAACATCCTATTAGATTTTTAATTATATCCTAAAATTTCATAAACAATAACAGATGGGCCAAGTGCAAAAATAAGGTAAAGAAGTTTTTCTTCACATTGTATTTTTGACATTCGTTTATTGCAAGAACCAGGCACGGATATAAAATCAGTCCTTTTCCAATATATGTGGGGATGATGAAAACTACGCAATCTTATTGAAATCTAAATTTTATTTAGCTTTGACCAACAATTTGAGAATACGGAATTAACTTTTTCTTGCATCGACTCCCTCAACCATAAAATCATCGCCAGTGAAATCTTTTATGAAAACTCTTTATATTCCAGTAGTGTAGATATATTTGAATCGAAAATATAGATTTTAAATGAAGTCTTACAAGAGAAGGGAATAAATCAAGAACATTCGAGAACAGAAGTAGTCTCGCATCGCCAGTCACTCTCTCAGCACAAGAGAGTGTTCCATTAGGGGAATCGGAATATGAAATATACTTCAAATGAAACAAGTCCACTCGAAAGGATTTTTATTCTTTTTTTTTCCCTCGACCGAATTATTTCTTTTTCCAATTTAAAACTTGTCATGGTTCGCTCTCCAATCCATTTGTTCTTCAATTACTTGTTGAAAAACGGAAACCCTGTTTGGAAATGTTATGAGAATACTAGCTTCGTATCACCTGGAATTTTCCTTAACTACTTCAGCATCCCTTTTCTTTCGGAAAAAGGATTCATTTTAAATAAGGATTTGTTGGATATTAGAGAACAAAAAAAAATTTGTGTTTTAAGTTTAGTTCATTTAAATGCCTTTCTAGGACTTTTTTTCGATCTGAATGACGCTGCAGTACAAATGAAAACCCAATGCCAAAAATTTGTGTTCTAAAAGCCTTTGTAGAACTTTTTCTGATCTGAATGACGCTGAAACACAAATTAAAACCTAATGCCAAAAATTTGCGTTCTAAATGCCTTTTCAGAACTTTTTCTGATCTGAATGACGCTGCAGTACCAATGAAAACCCAACGCTAAAAATTTGTGTTCTAAATGCCTTTTCAGAACTTTTTCTGATCTGAATGACGCTGCAGTACCAATGAAAACCCAACGACAAAAATCTGTGTTCTGGATGCCTTTGTCGAACTTTTTCTGATCTGAATGACACTGCAGTACAAATGAAAACCCAACGCTAAAAATTTGTGTTCTAAATGCTTTTGTAGAACTTTTTCTGATCTGAATGACGCTGCAGTACAAATGAAAACCCAACGCTAAAAATTTGTGTTCTAAATGCCTTTGTAGAACTTCTTCTGACCTTAAATGACGCTACAGTNTAGAACTTTTTCTGATCTGAATGACGCTGCAGTACAAATTAAAACCCAACTCCAAAAATTTGTGTTCTAAATGCCTTTGTAGAACTTTTTCTGATCTGAATGACGCTGCAGTACAAATTAAAACCCAACGCCAAAAATTTGTGTTCTAAATGCCTTTGTAGAACTTTTTCTGACCTTAAATGACGCTACAGTACAAATTAAAACCAAACGCCAGTGCTTTCCGCTTACGTTGGTTTTTAACTGAATACGTGGAACTGTATATCATTGATGTAGCTAGAATTTTGTTTGGGAGAGGACCAAATTAAACAAATAATATTAATTTTTTTTTTAAAAGTCAATTCCTACTTAGGTCAACAAAGAAAAATTTCATTTCAGTTACTTTTTTTAAACAATTGCAATTTTGCCTCCCATATAAAACTAAAATTAATTAAATTTAATGAATGAATTAACATTTGGAAAAAAAACTGTATTAACATCAAGTGTCCACAACAAGTTTAGAAAATTTATTTGAACTTGAGTGGATAAATAAAAAGTATTTTATTAACGATTAAAAATGTGAACAAGATATAGGGAGAGTATGAACTAATAGTAAGAAATGAAAAAAAAAGGATAGTCTTATTTATGTTTTAAGTTTCTTTTTAACTTCTGTCCAAAAGTTTCTTAACAGGGTGACACTACCTTATAACAGAAAAACCAACACTAGTACTTCACGAAAGTTGCATTTACGTTGTTTTGTAATTGCTTTTCAGTACAAGAGTGAGTGATGTTGCTAAAATTTTGTTTCGGAGGTCTTATAATACGTAAGTCATTGAGATTTTTTTAAAAAATGGAGCGTTTTATTTGAGTTTTAAGTTTATTTTCTTTAAGCAATATTTTTCTATCTGAATTACATTGCCGTATAGTTAAAAAATAAGCGTAAATGCTTTACAAAAGAGTTACACTTACATTGCTTTTTAATTGCACGGGCGGTTCAGTTTCTCACTTGCGTAGCTAAAATTGCTTGGAAAGGATTTTGAAAATAATCAGCGATTTCAAAGAAATGAAGCGTTTTCTTTTCGTTCTAATTAGTCTAGTAATCTGGAACGTTTCTCCAGAACTTCATGATTTGTGTTATACTTTCATGCTAGTGATAAATCAAAGTAAGTGCTTAACAAAAGATTTGCACTTACGTTATTATCATAATTTTTTTTAATTTCACGGCGGTACAGTATTCAGTGGGGTAGCTAGAATTTTATTTAGGAGTGTGTTTAAAAATGATCAACCATTAAGATTTTTTAAAAAAATTAAAGTCTTTCATTTGTGTTCTAAGTTTAGTTAATTTAGCTAAGTTAGTTATTTCCCCCTAATAGAATTTTTGTAATCTGAATAACACTGCCATGCAATTGAAAAAAATCAACGTAAGTGCTTCACGAAAGAGTTGAACATACAATGTTTTTTTTAATTGCATGGTGGTGTAATATTTAAACGGTTTAGCCATTTTCTTTTTGCGAAGAACTCTAAAAATAATCGGATATTAACATATGAAAAAAATGAAGTGTTAGTCTCCTAACTTTTCAATTTTCATATTTTATTCTTTCAAATTGAAATACAATAAATATTTTTCTCAGGCATAGTCGTTTTTTAGTCGCATCATATTCAAATTCCGACTAGTAATAATCAAAACTAATATTTTTTTTTAAAAATAGAAACATGAATTCTTAATTAATGAATTAGCTCGGATTCTTTCTTTTAATCACTATTCCTTATATAATCCCAAAATTGCAAACCAACACACTTGTATCATGGCTACTAAAAGTAAAACACCACAGCCATAAACTATTTTATTGAGATGAATATACTGTAGATTTGGCGTAATTGAATTATTTAGTTAAATCTTTTGCAGGGCATAATTTATTTTGACCAAGCCTAATGCTAGTCTACAATTTTTAAAAATTTTTTTTTTGCCAAAAATGATTGCATGTGCGCCAAAGAACAAATCAGGGAAAAAGATACAAATTATAAATTTTTGTGTTTTAAACTACGGCTTGTAATAATCTAAAATCCACTTATTTAGAATCGAAAGATGCTCAGTTTGAATTCTCACCTTAGCCGCAATTCTTATATAAGTATTACAACTGACATCCTACATAATTGCAAGCCGACTATTAAAAATCAAACACCTCTGACATTAGCTTTTTTACGAAGATTAATAGTGTCCATAGGTTAAAATCTTCGTCATTGTATTATTTAGTTAAATTTTTAGAAAGCCATAGTTTATTCTTACCAAACTTATTTTATTCAATATTTTTTGGGTGAAAATCCACCACTAATCCACCCTTATGTCATCACGACGTTTTCTTAAAGTTTCTCATCTCCCAATGGGACCCTACGCCCTCTAGCGACACTGCATAAAACTGATTAGTTGACATTGTAGATTTGAATAGTCGACA